GCAGTGAGAGGATCAGGGTGACTCCAGAGGGCAATCTCTGGATTTCATGACAGAGCTGTTCATCTTCATCTGGATTTCCAATCCATCGAACACTTTTGAACTCATTCTAATCCTGAACCGAAAGTGTTCAAAGGCAGCAGTCTAAAAATAAAAACAAATTACAAAACTACGTAGCCATAAAACTCAGCCACAGCTGCTGCAGTTACCAGGATCTGCAGGTGGAATCAGTCTTTTGTGTCTGTGCAACTGCAGGGGAGAAGCACCAATAACCCATCACACAGTGATGTATGATGCTATTACACTGTTGACAACAAGATCAGTCAGCAGCCAGCCTTACTCTCTGCTTTTTCTACAGGCCCCTTAACGGATACCGCTTACTGGATGTTTACCACGAACACCTTCCTGTAAAGAAATCGTTAAGGCGTGACTAATTACAGCCCAGTAATGACGTGGGTGCTTTGAAATATTAAATGACAGCACAAAATGATATTTCCATATTTAGGAAAATGTTTTCTCACTAAGGTTTCAGTTCTTTGCCTTAAAAAAGGGATTTCAAAAGAGCAGAGAGAGAGAGAGAGAGGGAGCTCTTGTTGTTTTGCTGCCATGAACAGATGGAGAGGTGACTTTGGTCCTGAACTGAGTCTCTCCGGATGCTTTGCCCTCAAGGCTCTGGACTTCTTCCAGCCACTAAATAAATGTTTTAGGGAGTTTGGGTGATGAATCAGATGCAGCATTCACAAAACGACAAGCAGATAAAATGTGACTAATGTCCAAGAACGTCTAATGGCCTCACATGAGCGAACCACCTCCAGTAAAACTGGGGTAAGTCAATAAGAAAAAACACAACCGTTTTTCTTGTTTTTTATTTTATAAGTGTCTTTGATTTAAGTCGGGAAACTTTAGCAGGGAGTGTTTGCCTCAGATAACACATTTGGACAGGTTTTCTATTGTGTTTGGTTAGAACCTTGATGTTTGTTTCTAATGTCGAAGTGTTAGATTTTGGTTGTTAAAAACCTGATCAAATAAATTACAATAAAGCTCAGTTTTTGACAGAGATCCAGTGATAAAAGTTGTTAGAGACGCTTGAGAGAAGTTCCTTGACATCGTCTTGTATTTAAACTGTGTAAAACGGCGTCTGTCGATCTTAGAACTTTTTGACTCACTCTTGTAGGACTAGGACTACTGCTTCATTGTACAGACCGGTTTTATAGAGAGGGAAAAGGTCTAATCATTTTTAAGGACAAGGATGTCCTGTCCCACTGGGGGTATCTGGAGAGACAAATACTTAAAAGGTGGTACGTGGCTTAGTAAAAGTATGGGGGAAAAACTGGGCTGGACCACTTCAAGGTGGGACAAATAAAAAGCTAAAATGAACTGTGTGACTACAGGAGACCCACAGAAGTTTTCAAAGGCAGACGTATTTATACTCTTTACCATCCTAACACTGCAGCACAGGAAAAATATGATAAATGGAATCCTTCAAATACATTGTACCACGCACCACACAGTAGTTAAGAAGACATTTAAGTCACGAGAAAGTGTTCACTGATATAAGTCGAGTGGGAAGAAGGGTGACTTTCTGTGAGACATATATACAAACGGACAGTCTGTGGGGTGTATTGACATTAGATACACAAGTGTTGTGTCAACAGTGGGATCGGGGGAGAGGTGACGGACAGAGTCCCGACATGGCTATTTTCTCTGATCTCATTAGCAAGAAATAGTAGACGGACGTACAGTAAGAAGACACATTTGGCCACACTTATTTATACACAGGACTTATTGAATTATTTTGACAGTGTCAAATGAGAAGAGTTGCGGACGGGAGATCTGTCTCGTATAACGACCGACAGAGTCGAGAAGGATGCACAACAGAAATAGAAGTACAGAGAGAGACGGCCACAGACAGAATCACTAAAAATACAAAGGCAGTTTCAGACATAGGATACAGAAAAAAAACAAAAAACAAACAAGAATACCATTATTTTTGTCTCCTTTTCATGGAGACCAAACACACAGAGAATAACACAACAATATTTCTCCTCCAAAGTAAAAACCCAGTGCAGGGCCAAACAGCCAGCACATGTGCTCATCACTTTATCAGGACAGACTCTACTATAACTGACTTTATTCAACGTTATATAATATATTTACACTTTATGTTGTTCATAAATGCAAGCCCTGTCCAAATTTACTCTGGGAATCACACGCTCACTTTCCCTTATGCCGTGGATCGACCGGTCATTAATTAAAAAGTGAGAGGTAAACTGTGATTTCAGACACTTTCAGACATCTTCAATTTGCATAATCACAGATGCTGCACGCCCGTAAAACTACCGACGGTTTGTGCCTCATTAAATGTGATGGATTGAGCTGTAGAGTCTACAACAGAGAGGTCACACTCTGGTGTTTTTCTTTTCATCACCAGAGCAATGCTGGTGTGATAGGCCTACACCAGCTCAGGTGCCTCTTCATCTACCTGGGAGTTAACTTTAACAGGTGGTACTTAACCAACTCTAAAGTTTTATTTTTTCAAATTATTTGTGGCTCCCTAACTCTAACGCCGTGTTGACAGATTCTTCAGTCAGTTTAACGCCATCTATAAATCACTCCAATGGTTAATCCAGACACGAGAGCAAGTTGTGGTACTGTTTTAGTGCACCCAGGAGGCATGGGAGTGTCTGCTGTTTGCTCAACACACAAGAGTCCTGCCAGGGTTGGATTCAAACCAGCAACCCTCCAAAGTACAAGCACTTTGGACAATTTCACCAGAGTTTTTGGAAGCTCTAGATTTTAAATGGTATATGCCATATATTTTCTTTTTTAGTAAAATTTTAGTATTTTCATTGATTGATATTTGGTAGGTGAATTGCATAGAATTCACTCATATATATTTAAATTTAGTTCTCTTTATAATTTAGTACTTGATTGACTAGAAGATTTACATTTTATTTAAAGTTATCATTGTAACTGCACCAGAAATATGAGCGGTGCTTTCATTTACCAAAATGTCTACAACCATAAATAATATATTGTTTTAAATCTACATTTTTAACATGGATATATGAATATTACAGTTTTATCTCCAATGGAGATATGCACCATGTATGTTCATGAAAACATATTTTTACTTGATTTATCTTTTACATTTTTACACTATCCTCCTAACCTTGTGGACAGTGGCCATGTGAGGATCAGTCAACCCCAGCGTGGAACTTCACCACTAGATGTTGCTAAATCCTATGCTGAGAAATAATACTTTAAATATTTCTGGCCTCCAAGTGAATGCAAGGAAAGCAGCCAATCCTTCCAATCTCCTGCCTCCTTCCAACATCAACTCTCATTATCCACGAACTGGGGAAATAGAGCAGATTAGGCTTTGCTGTCTTAGCTAGAGAGAAGATCAACTCTCTCTCTAGTGATGGTAGTATTTACGACTATGAACAACCGACCGGTGACTCCTGGTACCTTTCCTGGTTGAGTGTGTTTACCAGCGACAGCAGCACCTTGTTATATTATTATCTGGCCTCAGGGTAGGGAAGGACACAGGTGTGACTGTTTTTCATTAAGTGTGTGTCAGAACTCCGAATGCCCACGTGTTGCTTGTGTAACATTTCAATTTTTATGTTGCTGTGTTGTTGCAAGTAAAAAGACTTTTGTTTTGAAATTAAACAAATGTTACTCGTACAGTATGAACCTGACAGCTGTTGCAAAGCAGCAGCATTAACTGAATGCTGAGCCTGTGGAGTGCACAGCATCCATGCCAACAGACGCCTGCGGAGAACATGTTTGCAAGAGAACATTATCCAACCCTGCCTACATCCTCAGCCTACCATCCACACACAGATACAGTAACAACCAGGGCTGGAAGCTATCTGTGATTAGGTTTTTTCTTTTATATGTGATGGTAATACTACATCTTTAAGTGGATATTTCTTTTCTGTTTTAAATTATTATTAAATCATTGCTGGTTTATGGAAGTTGTAGTTTTGCAACAATATAATATTTACAAAAACATTTTTATTCTTACTTTCCACTTTATTGTTATTTGTTAGAAACTTCATTTACAATTTGATTTGAGTCTTTAGTCTAACAGACAATAAGAGATGACAAGGTATTTCAGGTTGTGATGGACGGCGAGTAACTGTTATGAGTGTCAGTAATTCTTCATCTCCCGTTGGTTTGAATTGAATGCGAAGCAGTGCACTGTGGTGTTAATGGCAGCTTTAACCACCTCTCTGCCTCGCTGCCATTAGCATAGGCGTAGGAGGCAGAGCTGATTGAGTGGCCATTTGGCAGAGAAAAAAAAAATCTTTTCAGATTCCTTCTACTCTATTTGCATCAGAATAAAATAATCAACCACAGAAATGCATGTGTATTTACACTGTAATGAACTTTGAGAACAAAAGGTCATCTGAAGACTAACAGGAAACCGTGTACACCACACGTGTTTACCACATAGAGTAGTTTTAAGTGTTTCATAAAACAGGGACAAAAGGTCAGTGCTAAAATATTACATATATACGTTCCTAAATATGACTTAACCACTTTTTTAATATGTATAAAAGACAAATAGCAGCAGGTAGAAATACATGTTTGGCACCGGTCGTTATTTGTCGCTATTTCGAATTATTATAATTATTACCATCATCATTATTATTGGCAAATTAAAAAAGATGTGCAGGAGTACCCTTAACACCTTCATTTTGAAACCCCTAATATAGCCTTCATGTATGTATAGAGTGTACTACACTTACGCCTGTTGGGTCTAGGGTAAAACCGAAAGCGAACACCCCAAATTTCTTTATGTACCCCCTTTGCCCCATTTCAAACACCCTAGATCCGTCTCTGATTTGGAGGATCCCTCCTCTTTGTCCTGAATTCCTAGACAATAGCAGAGTTTCTGCTGGATTTCCTGATTAATTCATGGATCCACCTTAAAAACCAAACTGGTTCCACCCCCTCGTGTTTCCTCCACCAGCTCATTTCCCTCTTTCTCTGCCTTCTAGCTCGCTGGGCAGACACGGATCCGGACGCTGGGCTTTATCCTCGGGTCCTGCTTGAATGTGCCGGACCCCCACAGTCCCACCCGAGTCCCACCCACCACCGCTCTGACTGCAACACACAGCAACACCAGCAGTGCTCGTTATGTGTTCTGTTGTTTGTCACAGACTCTACTTCACTCTGCCCTGTAGTTTTTATTTTATTTTCTCAACAGAGGGGGGAGTTGGTGTTGCCCGTGAACGGATTGTTTTCGGAGTGATTCTGGATCGTTGTGTAGGTTTCTCCCTTCTCTGGGCTGTCGCTACTCCAGGAACCAAAGCTCCGGTCTCCACCGATGTAATTAATCTTAAATTGACTGTCTAAACGTCGGAACAGGAGACTCTGGAGTGGATTTTCCCTCCTGTTTCTACCCGCTCTGACAGTGTTTACCACCACTGCAGTTGATAACTTAGAGTCCTGCTGGGAAATGGACAAACCCCCTCTGAAGTGAAGACGCTGCTCGCTTCATCCACACACAAACACAAACTACAGGACGTGATTTGGACGTGGATCCCGTGTAGGAGGTAAACGTTTTTTCCCCTAACTTTAAAGTCTATCTTTCGACGCACACATGGCTTTAAGAAACACACACACCGTTTATGATCTTTTATGGCGAATATAATTGTAAAATGATTTTTTATGTGTTTCCAGCCTCACATTTGTCCGTATTTCTTTTCATCCGGGTAACGTCTAACTGCCAGTTTCTTCACCTAGACATCCACTATCAGCAGCTACAGGCAGGTTTTCTACAGGTGTGAACTGTCATGTTCCCGGACAGTCTGATGTTTTTTTTTTATTATTACAAGCTTTGTGAAGCGAATTCCAACATGTGTGTTGTGTAGCCACCCGTCCCGACATTTCGTTCGAACGCTTGACATTCTGTCGTTCACAGCCAGTACCAAACCTTCATTCAAAAACCGTCCTTATATCACCTTTACGTACAGAAACGCTCGTAAAGCCTGCTAAGAGGTATAGTACGACGAACGACGATCGAAACTATGAATTATCGATTACATGTGTCATGGTTCTGAAAACACATCAACTTTTGTACTTGGCTACGCTGCAGTGGTTTGTCGTTCGCCTCAGTGTTTTCCAGCCTAGAGACGGCGGCGCTGCTTTGGTTGGCAGATTAAGTTGTTATTTTAATTAAAATAGTAACCTTTCACGTGTGATTGAGAGGTGGCGTATTCTAATGATGCCACAGTTTATTTCGGAGATTATGTTTTAATGCGTAAAATTATAATGGAAACATCAAACAAGGAGGAAATGTTTAAATAATACGACAATTTAGAAGGGGGTTTTGTGAAAGGTTTCCCTGGGCGACGGAACGGCACGTATGGACTGTTGCGGAGGCTGTGAGGCATGATGAGCCTCCTGCGGTTGTCTGGAAACAGTTCGTTGTATAGTCTGTGCTTTCACTGCTTGGTTTTTCACATTTCCCCTAGTAACCACCAGTGTTTGTGGTTAGTTTGACATAGTCTCTAACAACAATACGTTAAAACACAGGTTTTCCCCACAGAGGAAACACTGGTTGATGCTCCTGTCGTGAAAACGGACTTCTGGACTGACTCTTCGCAGTCCCTCACGCAGTCACAATGAATGCGGCGCCTTCAGGGAGAGCTTGTTCAGCTTGTTGGAGTGGTTTACCTACAATTACCACTCCCAGGGTAAACAGCACTTCTGCTTTCCAGACTGTCAAACTGACAGGCGGAAGTGAGGCAGGGTGGAAAAACCTTTATTTTAATCAACGGGCGTTCACGAAGAACCATCCTTACGTCATCTGCTAAGATGGGCGGATGAACAGCAGCAACAGCAGCTGCAGCTCCGCTTCTTTTTCCTTCACTCCTCTCATTTCATCCATCTTCTCCTCCTTCTTCTCCTACTCCTCCTCCCCTCTCTATATGGGTGTGTCTTGCCTTATTGCGTTAGAAAGGAGGGGGATCCCTCATCTGGGCTTTAATGGAGACTCCTCCCCAGCTTGTGACCTCCAAACGAGGGCATTGCTCCTCATCTTCTCCATTTCTGCTAATTCCTCCCCGAACAGGAGTGCTCTTCTACAGGGAGATCAGTTACAGAGAAAACTTTGATGGCTTTGTAGAAAATCAGGTTAATTTCAGGCAGCTGTAAGCTGAGTAAGCTGAGGACCGTCACAAACAACACTTAATCACATGGATGTGCTATCATGTCCATGTCGTTCAAATGTGTCTTTTTTTTCTCTGAAGGAAAAGAATTGTGGGTCCACAGGCAACACTTTACAGATGGCTTTTTATGTACATTTTCTCTTTCACGGCATACTGAGTTTGTGAACAATGAACACATTTCATAAAGACCGCTATGATTAGGTGATTCAGTCACCAATTGTACACATTAAGTCACATCATTAGAGCTTTGAAAAAAACAACAACATCTAACCTCAGTTTTAGAAGCTAACACTTCCGTTCCCATCCCACTTCAAATTCGAATGATGAAATTGCTTTTTGCAGCACAGAAGATGGGTTTAGTTGAGAGAACTTCTAGCTGTAAATGTTGAGTTTCCTTCCAGGAATAGTTGAGCAGATCTTATCTGGTTAAACCCTCCCACCTTGTTACTTCTTTTGGTTTTGTAGTGTATTACGTGTGTGCGTGTGTGTATACACACACACACACACACACACACACATATATATATATATATAATACATAAAATTAGGGCTGGCCAACGACTGAAAAATTCTAATCACTAATCACCTGACTTCTTCTTACTTCACCATTAGAGACATGGATGAACTTCTCTGTACCATCTACTTTTGTTGATTGAATAATTTCCTTTTGGGGATAAATAAAGTACTGTTGTAGACACAGTTTAGGATAAACACTACAACAACAAGTACATGAATCTCGGTGCATGTAAAATTTCCACCACAGTACCATCCTATTCTATTTCCAAAACAAACAGCCAATGCCACTTTTGGCTCATATCAGTTCACCAGGTAGGTGCATCTTTTCACCACTTAGCTGGTAAGAGGTCCAGCTTGAAGGACCTTGTTTACACTGTAATAGTGACTAGAATGTATGATTAGACAATGACTGTTTGGGGCATGGTTTTGTGAAAGGTAGTAAACAACAGATTTTTACAAAATAAAAGCCGGTGAGAAAGAGTTTACAATAATAAAAATAATAATAATACCTCATTAAGTTGCTCAGCCCTAATATATATATATATATATATATATATATATATATTCTTTGAAAGTTGTTCTCATTGTAAATTTGTTTTCTACTTAATCATGCATTAGTGTTATTTATAGGACCTGTCTGCGGCCTGAGTCAGAGCTTCATTACACTGGCAGCTGAGGCTCTGGATGTGAGGGGATGGGGTTTGATCTGACTGAACTCATTTGGTCAGACCCATTCAATCTGCCATTCATAGTTTGTGTGAATGTCTGTGATTGCCGTTGGGTGAGGCTGTGAATCTGAAATTGTCTTGTCACACTGCTGTTTGGCTTACTAAAGTTTTGCACACTACATTGTTTAACTAAGTCATTGATTGTAAGTGATTGTACATTTTTAGGTAAATAAGTCAATTCCTATCTACATGTATGTAGAGTTGAAAATTTAAATTTCTTTCACTTAAAAGTATATACAGTAATGACGAACTGGCGAGTGTAAACCTGAATAATGCACACTTGATGCCCCACCTCATGTTAAATATTATTTTCAGTCAAATTGAATCCAACATTTAAGCTACATCTGTGCTACTCTTTCGGCTGCTCTGTACATGCTCAAGCCCCAACATTTTTTGAAATTTTGAAATTTCTGTATGGAAGATCAAAGACAGAGACATCTGCAAACAGTGATGTATTATCTGCATACACTACACATACACTACACTGATTTGTCACGCTGATGTCCCCTGAGATACTTTTACCCAAAATGCAAATAAACAGGCCCTACCAGTAATGTAGAAAGCAGTTTCTGTCTTTGACCGTTAGCTGCATTCGTTTAGTTAGAATCTGCATTGAACAACACAGCTGGGGCTTATGGCCAGACCAGACAGGCTCTTATTTAAACAATAACTGTTGATTCTTGTTTCTGGAGACTGCAGATGATTGTAATCTCTGAAAAACATTATCCCTGTAATTAATGTCGAATGCAGGCATCACTTTACAGAGTGTTATCAGAAGGAGACAGTTGGCTTCACCTGCAGACAGCGAAGTTCTCAATTTGGGTCTGAAGTTGCTGAGCTCCTGATGATAGATGCAGGGGAGGAGACTGATGCTGACTCAGTGGGTTCGCACTCTGAAGGTCGTTTAGGACAGCCAAAAAGAATTCAGTATTACCTTGTTTGTTCTTTTACCACAAGTGAACCTTCAAGCTGTTATGGCACCTACAACAGATCCAGTGAGGTGTCATTCTCAGCTGTAAGATTAAAAATAAAAGGCCTGAACACATTGTCCACTGGTGTGAATGGGAAGTGAGGAAATTCAGCAAAACGTGGAACCCCCACTGTAGACGGAATCCCTGCCCGTGGAACAGATTCAGAAGCACACACTGTTTTTATGGAAGTTCACATCAATTATTCATGAACTGCATTCAACTCCAAGAAGCCCAGCCCTATATTTAGTATGTATAGCCTTTGCTCAGCACAACCTCACTGTTTGTGGTTATAATAGGACCGTTGGCCTCCATGATACATTTTTAATACAGCTGGCAGGATGGGGATCTACCCGTAGTATGAGGAGCTGTAATTTACATGTACAGTTTTATTACGCACTAAATTCAACCTGCAAGTCAAAATATATATTAAATAGAAGTCCTAGACATTTATCACATTTTATATTTGTTGTGTGAGATCAGGTTTGTTAGGGTTAAAAATGACAAATAATTGGTATTTTTTAATTTGCTCCTGAAACTATCATCACATAACTGGCTAAATCTACAAGATGTGATTTTAAATGAAGCCTAGCCTAGTGTAACTAATAGTCAACTTATTAGTTAATCAATCACATTGGTCTCATTACAAACACATTTCATACCAGTTTTTGTTTCTTATGTCCCTTGCCTTAATCATTGGTCAGCGAGTGGCAGTTGTTTTAGTTGTTAATAAATGCTGCAGGAGAATATACAGCTGTAAAGTTCAGACCTCTTGCGTGCTGCGGAGCACATGTTAAAGTGCAGGTAACTATGGCAACAGGACGGATGCTTCGGGCCGCGTTAGCGGTTAACTGAGTGGAGAAACTAACTTACCACAGATTATCTCTGACCTGACTCTGTTTCGTCAACCGGTGGAAATAATGAAAGAGCCAATAACAGACTCACATGTTGCATTTTAGCCTCATCATTGGACACAATTGTCATGAGGACACCTTGTTGCTGGGTCCAGGCACATGTCATGGAGGCGTTAGCAGCAGTGATAACTGTAGCTGGTCCATCTCTCGGCACACAGGCAATCACATAGCACTTCTGTGTGTGCAGGTCAGTGTGTGTTTGTGGGCAGAGATGTGTGTGTGTGTTTGTGGGATCGACATCTGAGTCATGGTGCACT